TAATAAAAGAAAGACCAACAATCCAATAGGATTCTGAGTAAAGGAGAGGACCTGGCAGTTCAGAAAGTAGGAAATGCAAAGGACTCTTAAATACATAGCATACTTCCTATCATCATTCTGAGTAAGATAAATATAAATTCAAATTACACAAAGATATCATTTTTTTTCACCCATCAAACCTCTAAAAATACATGCTTGAAAATATGTTCTGTTGGAAAGTTCTTCAGAGGGTAATCTAATACGTTTACATGTATCACAGATATATCCATGCCCATGAGTTCATGTGGAAAGATCTCCAAGATATACACAACAAAGGTAAGCTGTGTATATTAGAATATGAAAAATAACCAACCTTTTATGTAAAAGGAAGACAAAAAGGAAAACCTACATTTATATTATTTTCCTGATACACAACAAAATCTGGAAAGATATGCTAAGAAAATTTGTGGGAGCTGGGCAGATGACTGGGCTGGAAAAAAGACTTCACCACATATCTTTTGTTTGTTGTTATTATTATTTTTAGAGAGAGAGACAGAGAGAGAGAGCATGTGGGCAGGGGAGAAGGAGAAAGAGAGAGAAAGAGAATCGCAAGCAGGCTCCAAGCTGAGTGGGACTTGGTCCCATTACCTTGGGAACGTGACCTGAGTGGAAACCAAGAGTCAGACACACAACTGACTGAGCCACTCAGGTGCCCTTTCACTGCATATATTCTTATATTTTGTCAATTTTTAAGTTTAAATGTTGCCCCAACTTAAAAATATTTTCAATAAAAAAAGTATGTTAAAAAGAGAAAATGAATTGGGCACCTGGGTGGCTCAGTTGGTTAAGTGTCTGACTCTTGATTTTGGCTCAGGTCATGATCTCATAGTTGTGAGATTGTGTCTGGCTTCAAGCTAAGCGTGGAGCCTGCTGGAGATTCTCTCCACCCCCCTCCCCATCTCTCTTTCAAAATAAAACAAGAAGGTGGGGAATTTTGTATAGGCAATCAATATTGGCTGCCACAGCATGTATTAATTTCTAATCAGATAAAAAAAACAATAAAAAATAAAGACAATCATCTCCCAACATAGAGAACTTTATTCCTGATACACAGTGGGTAGAGTAGTCTTCTAATTTGCTACAATTTTGATTCTGTGGGAGAGTTTACCAATCCTTTACCAAAGCCACACTCCATCAGCACGTTATTTTTATAACTTTTTCTAAATCTATGGCCCTTTATATAATACATCATCTACTGGTGAAGCCAAATTTATTTTTTTTGATGTTTTATTTATTTCTGAGAGAGACAGCGTGAGCAGGGGAGGGTCAGAAAGAGAGGGAGATACAGAATCTGAAACAGTCTCCAGGCTCTGAGCTAGCTGTCAGCACAGAGCCCAACACGGGGCTCGAACCCACGAACTGTGAGATCATGACCTGAGCTGAAGTTGGACGCTCAACCGACTGAGCCACCCAGGTGCCCCAACATTTATTATTACTAAAAATGATAGTGCATCATAATTGCATCACTCAGAATAGTGGTGGCTTCAGAATTTTTTGTGTAGGAAGAGGTTAAAGACAATGAACTGGTTGGAAGTTGACAACTAGGGAGGTGTGTTAAAGCTTCACGTGCTAAATACTTTCTTTAAATCGAGTCATGGTGACAATTCCAGAGTGTCCCCCACCACTCTGCCCCCAAGTTTTCAAGCTGCCCCAGCTAATAGCATGGAGCACAGACACAAATTGTCCCAAACAAACCTTGCTCAAATTATAGATTTGTAAAGAAAATAAATGATTGCTGTTGTTTTCAGTTACTAAGTTTGGGGTGGTTTCCGACACAGAGCCCAAATCCCTTTTATCCAGCCAGTGCATGGATCCTCCAGCTGCTGTGAATGTGGGCTGCTAACCATTTACAGCTGCTTCCTTCTCCAGAGAACTGCCCTGTTCTGGCTGGAGTCACAAGGGAGGTCATGTCCAGCACCCCCACCCCAGGGGCAGCCTCCAGCCAGTGACTGATTGGGGAAAAAAAGGTGGTCTCCTTCCCTCCAGGCAGAATTGATGCTATGGTACAATTTACACTCCAGTGCTTCCCCAGTGAGGCTGCGTTCTTGTCTAGTGACTTTCCCTACCCCGTCCTCTTCTCTCTTTCCCTTTCTCATGAAAGTTGCATCAATGCATCGCACGGGCTGTAATCCTTGTCTCAGGCTCTGCCTCTCGGTCTTACCTTAAACAGACGCTAATGGAAGTTTTAAGAAGTGTGAGGGAGGGGCGCCTGAGTGGCTCAGTCCTTTAAGAGGCCAACTTCTGCTTCGGTTATGATCTCACGGTTCACGAGTTCGAGCCACGCATCCATCTCTCTCTGCCCCTCCCCTGCTCGTGCTCTGTCTCTCTCTCTCTCAAAAATAAATTTAAAAAACATTTAAAAAAAAGTGTGGGGAGAAATCTTTCCAAGCCATCTCTTGATACCTCACCTGCCCAGAGATACCTTTGTTAACATTTTGGTGTACGTGAAAGTATCTAACGCTTGTAGAGTATGTATAACATTCCCTGGTACATAGTAAGCACTCAGTAAATGCTAGCTATTATTATCATATTTGCCCAGTACTTTTTCCTGTATTTAATAATCATATCAATTTCTGAAGCACCTACCACGGGTCAGGCACTGTTCTAACATATTTCGTGTATGATTCCATTAGTCCTCACAGTAATCCTATCTAGTGGGGATTATCATCTCAAACAAGGCAACCGAGGCTCAGAGAGGGTAAATAACTGATCCAAGGATGTACAGCCAAAAAGTGGCAGAGCTGGATGAGTTATACATATATGTCTGTGTTATATTTTAATCATCATTTTACTGATAACTTTTTTGTGGCCAACTGCCTCAGGGTGGGGCTGGATACTTTTCTGCTTTGAAGAACCGCAAGCTTGCATAGTCATGCACTTCGGCTGTTGCTATTTCCACCCTGTCCTGGGAACTGCCCTCCTCATAATCTCCGATGGTCTTTTTTCCTGGAATGGCCTCACCTCTTCTCTCCACTTGTCCAAATGCTAACCATCCTTTAGGAGTTACATCAAATCTTACCTTTCCATGTAGTTTGCCCTGATTTCTGTTGCATGTGCTCATCTCATCTGTAATGACCTCCTACAGCATTTGCTGAATGTCCAAGTCATTCTGGTCCCTATCAATGGCCCGACACATTCCCTTTTAATAGAGGTTATGTTTATGGATGGGCCTGTTTCCATGAGGTGGACTGCAAGCTTTTTAAGGACAGGTTCAAGACTTACTTCTCTGTTATTTCTCTAATATCTTACGCAATGCTTGCCACAAAGTAGGATTCTTAATAAAAATGTGTTCACTGGAGGAATGAATCAATAAACTATGTTGTGGGTGTGTGTTTCCTGTCTTTTTGTCCATATTGTAAGATCCCTCAGGCCCAGACCTGCTTTCCAATGTCTTTTGTGACCTTCGTGTTTAGCAAATGGTAGATCCGGGGCAGAAATTTCGTGAAACTGAACAGGAACTGTCTGCCCCAAAGAATTGGTCACACTTGGGTCATGCTCTGGGAAAAGGACAGCTCTCTTTCAAAGGGAATCAGTCCCATGTGACATCCTACATGGAATTAGAGGAATGTTTCATCTTTGAGTTTGTTGCATGGCCAGCCCTATGTGTGCTATTTCCATAACTCCGCATGTGACCAGATGTCCTTGACTTGACCTTGTGGGAATATGTAAACCATGAGATTCAAAGAGGGATGTTTGTGGGAGGAGGGGATCATGTGATGTGGAACAATCTTTATTTGCAATTCCCTGACTCAGGAGTGATTTCTGAGAAGTGGCAAGGGGTGACTCTACAGAGAGCCTTGGCGGCCTCTACAAAGACAAGACTTTTCACGGGGTGGCACTCTGCCAGCCTGACAGGAAGTAGAAAACAAAGGGGCAGCTGACTCCAGGTCCCATCCTGACCAGCAACAGCTTTTTACAGGCAAATTTTTTAGCATAAAGCTTCTCCTTCAGGAGTTGAAAGCTGAGCTAAAAGAAGGCTGGAATGTTCCGTTGTACTGGAAGACCACATTCACTTATTTCTTATTTTATAAATGAAAACTAAGTTTTAAAATGCATCAAAGAGCACACAATTCAGAGTATCTCAGTGCACACTTTTCGTCGTAAACCATCCGACTCTCCTCAAGTTTATCTAGTTCGTAAACAGACGTGATCAATATTAGGGTTTGTTCAAAAACATGTATTTATGCTCAAAGAATAGGAAAAAGGCAGTGAGCCACAGGGGGGTTAGGAAAGTTCGTTATGCTTTGGAGAATATTTCAATCTTGCTTTTCAAATGGGACGCCCGGATAACTCCATCTTCAACCTCAAGGTCACTATGTGAACACACTGCTTTAAACCAGAAAAGATGAGGGCTCCTTGGTTTGGGGTCAGGATTGGGATAGGGTAGGGAGAAATTCTGGCATCCACAGCTGTAGGAAGTGCTTGTTCTGTCTTAATTTTGTTTACTTAAAAAGAGAAAAAGAAGTCCACATATCTCTTTGAAGCCCTGTGGGACTGTTTTTACTGCGAGCACACAGAGAAAGCCCGTGATTGTTCTTGGAATGCTTGTCTCACCATTTATTGTCCTTGGATTCAAGCCTGCTTTGCATTTGGGATAAAGATTCATTCATTCTCGTGCCAAGAAATAAAGAATTCTATTGCCTTCCTGCCCAAATTGTTTCAAGGCGATCTTTCTTTCTGAGACCAACAAGCCCAGATAGCATCTTGCTTGGCTCCATGATCTAGTCGCCAAAGGAGATGCCATGTCCTTTTCGGTCAGAGCTTTTCCGCCACAGTACCCGTTACACGGGGCAGACCTGCTCCCCTCAGCACCAGGAGGCTCGCTCTGTTCACAAGGATCCTTGACAACCTCCACAGATTGCCAGCCCAGGCTTACGGTAATTCTGCACCGCAAGAATTGTTGAGTCACTTCAGCAGACAGAGTGATGATGAGCTCTCGGGGGGGGCTGCTAACTCGATCCGCAGGGAGAAATGAGAGGAGCGTTATTGCGTGCTGTGACATGCCTCATCCTAGAATCTTCCATGATCATTCACAAGAATAAAGGCCAATCTAATTAAAATGAACACAGAAGTGTGAAAAATAAAGGGCAAAGAAACTCCAAGTAAGTTGGTTATCTCGTCAGAGGAAAACCACCCCCCGGGGGACTGCAGCCTCAACAAATTCCTGGTTCGTTTCTGACAACGTTCTGGTTCGTTTAGAGGGTTTAGTTCCAATCAGCACGACAGTGGTCCTCTTGTCACTTCCACATCTGCCCCCCTAAACCTTCCTCACTCCCCTCAGACTTTGCCCCTAAGTCCCAACTGTTTCCTTCAAGAAGATCTCTTTCCCTGGATGTCACATGTAGGCAGCTGAAACTCAATATAATCAAAATTGCACTTACCTTTTCTGTAAAACCAGTTCTTCCTTCCCTACCCCATCAAGGAAATGATAGCACCATCCATCTATTTACTCAAGTCAGAATCCTGTGTTGGGGGTGGGGACGGGGGAGGGTTATCCTAGCTTTCTCTCTTCCTCTCACTCCGATAGCCAATCAGTTGCCAGACTTGTACACTGGACCTTTTCAGCGTCTCTGGTATATCTGCTGGTCTTTTTCCCAGCTCTCAACTTCCCAAGAGCAAATGCTCTTGCCCACAGTTTTTCGCTTTGCAGTGCATCTCTCCAAAGCAGCTGAAGCGAACTTCCTTCAATAACTCCCTATTGCTTTTAGGATTAGGTCTCTACTCCTTAGTGGGACCAATAAAGCCTGATAACATATCTCCAAGCCTACTCCTCTGTTCTCCCTGTCTGCCTCTCACCTAAATCTTTTATATTCCACTCACCACGCATACATATACTGTCTTTTCACCTTGTCCAGAAAGAGGCTTTGTTTTCTTTTCTGATTTCCCGTACTTATTATTGGTCCATTTACTTCTACCCTCAACCACTTCAATGCCACATTATCTGCATATCTCCTTTAAGACCCAGTACCAGGGTTATTCCACCTCTGAATACTAGGAGGCTTTTCCTGAATACTACCTATCTCCTACCTCTGGGTGTAACTGTTCTCCTCTGTGTCTCATGGTACTCTTACATTCTTCATCCATGGAATCTCTAGCCCTCGATCACCAACATTGTTCATTTTTGTTTCAGCTCTTTTTACCATGCCAGAATTGAATAAATGTTCCTCTGAATGAACGAACGAATGAATGAACTCTTAGCATTTCTAGTTGGATAAGGGTAACTTACAAATCTCAAGTACTGATAACTGAAGAGTTTTTCCCCTAGAAGATAAATCTGCTATGAGAAAGGAAATAAAAGCCGTTTGGCTTACCTGATATTTTTAATAATCAAGAATATGATTTTTCTCTTACTGAGCATTTATGGCGTGTTTCCTGAGGGTTAGGTAGCAGAAACATACCCTGCTCTTAGTCAAAATTAAAATAGCTCTGTCAGGGTAAGTGCTTTTAATGTTCTTTAATATTTTGGTTAGAGAACACTTCAGCAATTTGAATTGAAAAGTTTTGCAGATGGATTTGTATTTGACTTGTATGTACTAGCAACACAACGAACTTGAATGGGGGTGTGTGCTGTTTTACTTTTCGGAAGCACAGGTCCACTCATTGGTAGCTGCAAGGGTCGCATCCTCAGGTCTACCTTTGGAGAATATTTGCCTAAAGGGGACAGAGGAAAGATACATCATATCTACCACTATTTATTGAGCACTTAGTCTGTATTGGGTACATTCTACATACAATATTTACATATTTACCACATTCATTTAACATTTACAACAACTTCTGGGTGCAAGGGTTCATTTACAAAAGAGGAAACTGAGGATCTACACATGCCATCCAGTAGAAAGATTTCAGCCCAGCTGTGGATTTTTATCAGTGGGTTTTGGTGATGTCTTTGTACAGAGTAGGGTAAGGAGGCAAAGATGCTTGCCTGCAAATCCTTGCCAAAAACCGGCCTTTCAAAATTGCTAATTATCTTGGTTCTTGCTCTACCCAGAAACTTTCATCCTTTCTAACTATCTGCCATAAAAACTTGATTGCATCATTCTACTGTGATTCTTTTTTTTTTTTTTTTTTGAGAGAGAGAGAAAGAGGGTGCAGGTGAGGAAGGGCCAGAAACAGAGAGAAAGAAAGAAGGGGAGCTCATCCAAAGCAGGGCTCATGTTCACCCAATGTGGGACTCGAACTCATGAACTGTGAGATCATGACCTGAGCCGAAGTCAGATGCTTAACCCATTGAGCCACCCAGGTGCCCCCATTCTACTGTGATTCTCACATCACTAGTTTTCATGATCCCTGACTACTTACATGTCAATTTGTTTCTTTTGCTCAAATTTAACACCTCTGAAATTCAACTTGAGCCAGATGTTCTTTTCAAAATCAAATACTAACTCTCCGATCTTATAATCCATGTTAATAAGTAATTGGAGGAGGGTTAGAGAATCTCTATCTTTCCCATTCATATTGAAAATTCATAAGTTTGTTCTTGAAACTATGTCATACTGTGCCAGTATTGTTTATCCAAAGGATGGGTCTAGAATAAATTTCAAAGCATGAAGTGGGAAAGGGTCATGCCGTGTTTGGTTGGAAGACATGCAATTTTAGGAAAGTATGAGGCCTTAAGTTGGGAAAAAGCCCCAGATTAGTTAGAATACTGCTCTCCAATAGAAATATAATATTAGCTCCATAGTTAGATATGTAATTTAAAACTTTCTAGGAGACACATTCCACAAAAATAAAAAGAAACAGGTGAACTTAATTTTAAAAATATACTTGAGCCTAATTGATTTCAAATATTATTATTTCAACATATAATCAATATAACAAGTATGAGGTGTTTTATAATTATTTAGTACCAAGTCTTTGAAATCTGGTGTGTATTTTACATACTTGACAAGCCCACATTTCAGGAGCTCTATAGATAGATGCTACCCTATTGGATAGCACAGCTCTAGAATCCCAGGGTAGGAAGAAAACCCGAAGTTATCAAATCCTACAATTCTTTGTGGGCTGAAACCCATAGAGAGAATCCAGGCTAAGTGGCTGCTTGGCCCCTGAGTGAGTACATCTAGTAACACAACTTTGCTGACCTCTAGCAAGCTTTTGGACTTCGATCCCCCAAGTTGAGAGAGAACAAACCTAATATCCCTTTCACAGGAGAACTTTTCAACTACCTTAAGAAGATCAGTGTAATCCCTGAGTTTGTTCTTTTGGCTAAGCTTTCCTCATGTTTTCAGCTTCTCTCTGTGTGCAGTGGAGGATGTCCAGAGTCTGAGGGCATGGACATGATTCTCTCTTAAGTGTTTTCCACCTCAAATATTCTCTGTCCCCAAATATTTAGCTGCCAACTTAAAGACTCTGTTTAAAGTAGAAGTGAAAAGCTTCGAAGGAAGACATAGGCCAAGTAGATTGATGAGTCATGTGTTCGTGGGCACATATTAAGGGACCTAGAATCGATTAAAAGGGGAAATTGTGATGTTTCTGTGCAAGTCCATGCTTCCCCTTGCTATGGTTCGTAACTCCCTGTGTGATGTACCTTTCTCTTTTGGGCTATTAAAGTTCTTCACCTGGTCCACATATACAGAGCCCACCTCCCAAAATGTCTCAGAAAATAATGAATGAGTAGTCATTTATTAGTGTGATTTCAAGCTAGTGAGTTTCTCTCCCAAGGATAATTGCAGTTAAAACCTTACCTCTGGGGCGCCTGAGTGGCTTAGTCGGTTAAGTGTCCGACTTCAGCTCAGGTCATGATCTCACGGTTCGTGGGTTCGAGCCCCGCATCGGGCTCTGTGCTGACTGCCAGTTCAGAGCCTGGAGCCTGCTTCAGATTCTGTATCTCCCTCTCTCCCTGACCCTCCCCTGCTCACACTGTCTCTCTCTCTCACTCTCTCTCAGAAACAAATAAAACATTAAAAAAAATTAAAACCTTATCTCTAATTATAGGTATCAAAGACACAAAATACCTTTCTCATCCATTAAATCATTGTTTTAAGCAAAAAAAAATCATATTTAGGTTTTTGGTTTGTCTTATAGATTGAACAAGTAGCATTACTTAAGCAGAACATACCTTCTTCCTTCACTTTTTCTAGACCTTTCATCTATTTATTTAACAGCTGATAGATTATAAAAGGGTCACCATCTCCAGTTTATGGTAGTAGGTTCAGCAGTAAGGACTTAACCAAGAATTTTGAATGGATTTGCCCAAATTCTTCACTGCTGTTAGAAAAACAATTCACATTATTATGATATACACAAAGATGGAGGGACCCTTAGAGTTGGAAACAGAAATCGTATCCTAAAGGAAATAGTTGGCAAATTTTTGCCAAATAGGTAAAGGATACCCTTTGTTTTTTGCAGAACTGATGAACTTAGGATGATTTAACTTATAAATTCAGGAAAGATGTATGAAAGCATTTATTAAAGTTGATTATAAAATTCTTTCAACAATACAGTCTCCTAAAGAACTTTAGGAGATAACTTAATTTACAAAATACAATTTACCTTTTCAGAAACAATTTTTTTTGAGTAAACTTAGACCTACCATTAGTACCTATTTGTATATGTTCTAACATCCCAAAATTAACATTCAGAAGTCTCCAGCCAACCATGTCAACATCAAGAAGTCTTTGAAAAACAGTCTAAGAAAGCAGAAACCTAAATAAAGGGAGCTGGAGAACAGTTATGAAGGAGAAGGGGTATGATAAAAATAGGATAAAAGGATCCACTCATTTATTCTCCAGCCCTTTTCCAAAAGGGGGGAAAAAAAGAAAATGGTGGTAAATAACACTCTGGGATTGTGTTTTCAAAAGATGGCCACATCTCCCATTCCACATGCCTTTCTATAATGTGACCTTGTTATGCCCTCATCAATAGGTGGGGTCTAATTTTCCTCTGCTTGAATGCAGAGTGGTATTATGACTCATTTGAACCCCACAGAACTGGGTAGAATTCTGTTTGCATGACTTTTGTTTGTTTGCTTTCTTAAAAGCTTAGCGGACACTCTATTTACCGTGCATTGCTGCATGATGTGCCCTTTTAATTTTCTTTAAAATTAAGCTTTTAATTTTGATGTAGAATTGTAGAATCACTTACAGTTGTAGGAAACAGT